ACACACACACACACACACACACACACACACGGAGCACTTTTGTAGCTTAACAGACATGCATTTTGAAGCAGCTCCTTTTAATTTCTCCAAGGCTGGAGTGGATTCCCCCACCCCCTCTGTCAGCCCGCACTCCTTCTCACTCCAAGCACTTTAACTCACAAGGGGAAAGCAATATTTGCAGCGTCCATGCCTTTCTTCCTTTCCCCCGGAGAGAAAGAGGACGTGGGGAACGGAAAGCTAGGAGAGCGATTGCAAGTGAACGACCGGGTGACTGGGTTGGGGGCATGGCCAGCCAGGGGTTGCCACCGGTTTGGCCATGCCAAATAACCGATACTGGTTCGCCCGAATAGGTGCGAACCAGTTGAATACCAGCTCTGCTCTTAGTTATATAACCCTACAAACTAAACAAAAAACACCATAAAATTCATTTGCGAGGCCAATACATAGTGCAGAAGTTATGATTCCTGTTCCACCAGATTTCACCCTCAGTCATGTGATCCCAATCCAAGCTAACCCAAGATCTCTTTACTGAAAAGTAGTGAGGCAGAGACTTCCACTAAGTTGTTAAGGTTGTATGATACAACTACATTCTCTCACACATGCAGCTTCTTTCGGTAGATGAACGAAAGGGCAGACACATTATGATTGTTTTCCTCCTTCAGTTCTCTAGGAGGTTGGCTTTCTTGGGCAAGCTTGCACACTTCCAAACAATCATAATGAGCTGCAGTTTTCCAAGTACAATTTTTGTTTTCAAAAACCTCATCCTGTGTAAATGTGAAATTGGAAAGCATTCTTGGGAGTAGGATTATTTTTTAGCGTATCCCAGTTTCCCATCTATTTCATCCTTAACTACAGGAATCTAAATACTACTACTAGTACTAGTACTACTACTACTAGTACTACTACTACTACTACCACAATAATAAGTTAGGCTGGACTTAGAGGATGCCAAGAAGGTATGGTAGGCTGCCAAGTTGTGGGTCTATTTTTTTTCAAAAATGTGATTCCCCCAAAAATCTCTAAATTCCAGTTTTTCTTTTTGAGTTTGGCTGCAGACCATCAATAATTTTGACCCTTGGAAGAAGAGGAGGCCTGGGATGATGACGACGATGTAATTGTGCATAGGGCTTAGAAACTTGAAACCCTTTTGCAGGGTCCAGTGTCAGACGCACAAAGCTCACTTTTAGCTGTCTTTCAGCATCTGACACTAAACTATTGTTGGGTTTTACTGTTAACATATGACAATGATTTGTGTTTGTTGCAACTAATATTTTTCCTTATATTTCAGGCTTGAATTTGGAACATAATTTATTTAGAAGAGCTAATATCCATTTGAATGAAATAAACATTACCTGCTGCCAACAAGCCTGGATTTTTTTTTGAGAGTGTTACTGAAATTTTCCCAACTCATTAAGTAGTTGCTAACTGTCATTGTTTTTGAACATGCACACTGCACGTTTTATTTTCCGAATGTCTTCATGATACTAATTAAGCCTCAAATGTTGCCATTATTGAGTTGGTAATGTGCCAACAATCACAAAACCCCATAAGAAGCAACTTCTAAACATGTGCACTTTTTTTTAAAAAAAAAAGAAAACCATCGAACAAGAAAAGCAAGCAGATAAAAGGCTGTGTCTGAAGTAAAAGCTGTATTGAGAGTGTTATCTCAAAAACATCATTTTCACACTCTCTGTGTAGAAGGAAATTAAAATTCAGTAGTTTACTTGCAAAAGATACGGCCCATATTGTGATATTTCTGTTTGAAGGAGGTATATGTCCTAAGGGTAGGCCTTAGTTGAAACTTAAATTAGCAAACATTTAATGTATACTTGCTAAATTTATACTGGATTGGCAATCTGCTACAGCAAATTTTGATATCGTAAATCCTTATTTAAAATTTCATTGCCCTCATTATTTCTATGACATGTTGGCCAGTTACCCTATTTGTGTTAAGGCACCAGGCTAGAAAGCAGGAGACTGAGTTCAAGTCCTGCCTAGCCATGAAAACCTGCCAAGTGACTTTGGTCCAATCACACTCTCTCATCCTAACCCACCTCTCAGAGTTGTTATTGTGGGGAAAATAGGAGGAGGAAGATGTGTTGGATATGTTTGCCACCTTGGATTGTTTGTAAAAATAATAAAGTTAGGATAGATAGATATATCCATCTCTCTCTCTCTCTCTCTCTCTCTCTCTCTCTCTCTCTCTCTC